TTGGTGTCCTTTCATGTGAAGTCTTGTCTGCAGTTTCTTATGCGCAGTAGATTTTGAAAGCCTCTAGAGATGCCCATCTTAATGACTTTCCTGGACTTGCCTCAAAGCTTCCTTCTACAGATGCTACAGTATCTTCACTAACACAAGGCCTACAAGACCATGGCTTATGACTGACAGAACCTGTGTCTTTAAATTTTTTCATCAACTTGGATATAGAATTTCTCTGTGGTGCATCTTCCTTGTAATGAGTTCTAAACCATCTTTGGACAGCAACAGTAGATTTTAGTTCAACCAACCAAAGAACACAATTTACTTTCTCTTCTAGTGAAGCCATGGGTCAACAGTGATTCAGAAATAGAATTTCAAAACAGATTGTAGAGCCAGGCCTTTTAAACTGGCACACCTTGCCTTGTTTTCCCATAAAATCCATCTCATCCTTTCAGACAGTTTTGCAACTCCTCCGATAATGACTAGGTGCTGTCGCGGAAAGAATGGCAGCTGAGTGCCCCCACCAAAATAAATCTACTTGATAAAGACTCCACTCCTTTTACACTAGAAGTTTAAAAGGTGATAGACCTGTAGCCACCACTATGAGACAAAGATCTGTGAATATTACTTTTATGAACATTTATGTAAAAATACCTGTTTGAGTGTTTACTTTCAATTCTTTTGGGCATATATACAGAAGTGCAATTACTAGATCATATGATAGTTTAAAAAGGTATTTTGAGGAAGATACATAGTTTTCTATAGTGACTGTACCATTTTGCCTTCCTATCAGCAGTGCACAAAGGTTCTAATTTCTTCACATCCTTACCAACACTTGCTATTGTCTGCTTTTTTTTTTTTTTTGAGACAGAGTCTCACTTTGTCACTCTCAGTAGAGTGCTGTGGTGTCATACCTCACAGAAACCTCATATTCTTGGGCTCAAGCGATTCTTTTGCCTCAGCCTCTAAGTAGCTGGGACTACAGATGCCCACCACAATGCCCAGCTATTTTTAGAGACAAGGTCTTGCTTTGGCTCAGGCTGGTCTTGAACTTGTGAGCTCCGGCAATTCACTCACCTCAAATGGATTGCCAGCATGCTCTGGCCTATTCTCTGCTTTTTTTTTTTTGAGACAGAGCCTCAAGCTGTCCCCCCTGGGTAGAGTGCCGTGGCATCACAGCTCACAGCAACCTCCAACTCCTGGGCTCAATCAAGTCTTCTGCCTCTGCCTCCCAAGTAGCTGGGACTACAGGCATCCGCCACAATGCCTGGCTATTTCTTTTGGTTGTAGCCATCATTGTTATTTGGTGGGTCCGGGCTGGATTCGAACCCGCCAGCTTAGGTGTATGTGGCTGGTGCCTTAGCTACTTGAGCCACAGGCACCGAGCCTATTCTCTGCTTTTTTGATAGCCATTCTAATGTGTGTGAAGTGGCATTTATTATAGCTTTGATATACATTTTCCTAAATTATATCAATGTTGATATACTGTATATCAATATAGTCATGTTGAACACCTTTTCATATGTTTCCATTTTTAAAAAGATATACAACATAATATAGTTTAAGCCTCTTTTATATTTTCTTTCTAGTCCTGTTTTCTTCTCTTTATCCTCAGAAATAACATTGTCGAAGTTGATATCCTTCTTTTTATACTCTTACTAATAGGCATGTGTTCATAAACATTATATTGCAAAATTTTCTTTTGAAGTCTAAATTGTATCTAGCTGTTATATTCATTCTGCACTTGCCTTTTCAGCTTGATACTTTTCTTTTGAGACTTAGCAATGTCAATACTAACTAGGTCATTCATTTCAACTGCCATATAGTAACATTCCATTGAAACATTTCCATAAGCCATCTATGACTTTCAGTCTGCTATTGTTACAAACAACATTGTGGTGAATATCCTTATGTTTGCCTCTTTGTGTTCCAGTGAAGTAAGGGCTCCTCTAGGGTGTACTTGTTGAATAGCTGTTTATTGAGAATTTGCTGTGTGCCAAGCAGTGTTCTGGACAGGGATATAACAATGAGCTAACCCTCCCTAGTCCCTACTCTAAGTGAGTTTATGTGAAGTGGGATTATTGGATTATGAAGTACTTGAATCTTTGTTCACTCAGCAAATATTTATTGAATTTGTACTGTGTACTAGGTATTTTAAGAGTCTAGGTGATAGGCTCCATGCGTGTGGCTCAAGCGGCTAAAATACCAGCTATATACACCTGAGCTGGCAGTTTCGAATCCAGCCCAGGCCCACCAAACAACAATGATGGCTGCAACCAAAAAATAGCTGGGCGTTGTGGGGGGTGCCTGTAGTCCCAGCTGCTTGGGAGGCGGAGGCAGGAGAATCGCTTGAGCCCAGGAGTTGGAGGTTGTTGTGAGCCACTCTACCTAGGGTGACAGCTTGAGGCTCTGTCTCAAAAAGAAAAGAAAGATGAAAGATACTGTGTTTAGTCCTTAGACTAAAGGTAGCAGTAGCTATGTCAGGGAGTAGATTTGGGATATATTTTAAAGATAGTGCCTACAGGATTCTTATATGGATTGGATGTAAGGTATCCAACAGAAGGAGGGAAGCAAGGATAATGACACTTCAAATTTTGAGTTAAAATGTTAATGCTATCTTTTATTCAATTGGAGAGAACTTAGAATCAAATTGTAAACTTAAGTTTGAAATACTATTAAGTATATAAAATGTTTGACATTAGATACTAAATTTCAGTCTAACGTGATTGTAATAGTTGATACCCCCACTGCTTTGCATGACCCATTTGGTGCTTCTTCTGCATGTTAAGCTGCTATTCTGTTGATTTAATTCTCAGCTTGACTGTTGGTATATAGGAATGATACTGATCTGGGTACATTGATTTTGTATCCTGAGACTCTGCTGAATTTATTTATTAACTCCATGAGTCTCTTCATAGAATCTTTGGGGTTTTCTAGATATAAGATCACATAATTAGCAATGAGTGATAGTTTAATCTCTTCTTTCCCCATTTGGATACCCCTGATTTTCTTCTCTTGTCTGATTGCTCTGGCCTGGACTTCTAGCACTATGTTGAATAAAATGGTGACAGTGGGCAACCTTGTCTACTTCCAGATCTAAGAGGAATTTTTTTCTATTCAGTATGATGTTGGCTATAGGTTTGTCATGTATAGCTTTTTATAATTTTGAGATATGTTCTATCTATGTTTATTTTGTTAAAAATTCTTACCATATAAGGATGCTGAATTTCATTAAATGCTTTCTCTGTATCCTTTGAAATCATCATATGGTCTTTGTTTTTGCTTCTGTTTATGTGGTTACTCACACTTATAGATTTGCATATTTTGAACCATCCTTGTATCCTTAGGGTGAAGCCCACTTGGTTATGGTGGATTATTTTTTTGATGTGCTGCTGAATTTGATTTACTAGAGTTTGTTTTTTTTTTTTTTTTTTAAACGGAGCCTCAAGCTATCCCCCTGGGTAGAGTGCCATGTTGGCATCACGCTCAGAGCAACCTGCCTCTGCCTCCCAAGTAGCTGGGACCACAGGCACCCGCCACAACGCCCGGCTATTTTTTGGTTGCAGCCGTCATTGTTGTTTGGCGGGTCCGGGCTGGGGATTCAAACCTGCCACCTTAGGTGTACGTGGCTGGCGCCTTAGCTGGTTGAGCTATAGGCGCCAAGCCAATTTACTAGAGTTTTATTGAGAATTTTTACATCTATATTTGTAAGGGATATTGGTCTGTAGTTTAATTTTTTTGTCATGTTTTTCCTGGTATTAAGGTGTTTTTTGGTATTAAGGTAATACTAGCTTCATAGAATGAGTCAGGGAGGATTCTTTCCTTCTTGATGTTATGAGATAATTTCTGCATTTCTGCAGTACAGGTACCAGTTCTTGTTTGTAGGTCTGATAAAATTTGACTGTAAAACCCTCTGGTCCAGGACTTTTTTTTTTTTTCCTAGAAGGCTTTTTATTGTTGCTTCAATTTTGTTACTTGGAATTGGTCTGTTTAGGAGTTCTATTTCTTCCTGCTTGAGCCTAGGGAGGTTATGTGTTTCTAAGAATGGTCCATTTCCTGAATGTTTTCCACTTTATGTGTATAGAAACATTTATAGTACTCATAGATAATGTTCTTTTTTGTTTTTCTTTCAGAGACAGAGTCTCACTTTGTTGCCCTCAATAGAGTGCTGTGGTGTCTCAGCTCACAGCAACCTCCAGCTCTTAGGCTTAGGTGATTCTCTTGCCTCAGCTTCCTGAGTAGCTGGGATTATAGGCTCCTGTAACAAGGCCTGGCTATTTTTTTGTTGCAGGTTTGGCTGGGGCCAGATTTGAATCCACCACCCTCAGTATATGGGGCTGGCACCCTATTCACTGAGCCACAGGTGCCACCCATAGATGGTGTTTTGTATTTCTGTGGTATCAGTTGTAATATCTCCTTTTAAATTTATGATTGCGCTTATTAGGGTCCTTTTCTCTTTTTGGTTAATCTAGCAAGATGTCTGTCAATTTTGTTTATCTTTTCGAATCTCTTTTGTTGAGATTCATTCATAATCAGTACACTGAAGGAACCTACTATTTTTTTAAAAAAAAAAAGCTAAATTCTTTCATGCAAAATCAGTTTAACTTGCTGTGATGTAAATTCTATAAGTTAGGTTTATTGAGTTTATGTTTTTATACTTGAGTTTAATTGTTCTTTCTTTTTTTTTTTCTGGAGACAGAGTTTCACTTTGTCACCATTGGTAAAGTGCTGTGGTATCATAGCTCACAGCGACCTCAAACTTTGGGCTCAAGTGATTCTCTTGCCTCAGCCTCCCATGTAGCTGGAAGTACAGACACCCAGCACAATGCCTGGCTATATTTTATAGACGAGGTCTCTCTCTGGCTCAGGCTGGTCTCGAATCTATGAGCTCATTCAATCCACCACCTCAGCCTCCCAGAGTGCTAGGATTATGGGCGTGAAACACCACACCTGGCCTACTTGAGTTTAATTGGAATTCACTTCCTTTTGTCTTGTTTTGTTTTAAATTCCAGATGCTGGCTCTGGTGTAGAAGAAGTGGAATTAAGCTGGGAAGATTACCTCGAAGAGACAGGGTCCATAGCAGTTCCATATGGGTCTTTTAAACATGTAAGCAATAACTGTTTTTGTTTTACTGATTATATCCCTTTCTTTCAAATCAGTGAACCACGATTAGGGAATTTAGTTATTTTAAATTGGAGCACTTGAAAGAATTTAGGAGCTTTTTCTTTTTCCTTCCTCCTGCCAATCTCATTAATAAAACTTAATATATATTCTAAAATTCTTTTTGCTTTTGTATTAACATATGTATATCTTCTGTTATTCAAAACAAGACTTATCTTTTTGACCATCCATAAATATTCTCTTATATTTGTCAAAATCTTCCCCCAAATTATTTATTTTCTTGTACTTTATTACATTTACTTTATTGCATTTGTTGGTTTACTCATTGAAAGTAATTTCTTTTTTTTTTGAGACAGAGCCTCCAGCTGTTGGCCTGGGTAGAGTGCTGTGGCGTCACAGCTCACAGCAATCTCCAACTCCTGGGCTTAAGCAATTCTCTTGCCTCAGCCGTAGCCGGGACTACAGGCGCCCCCCACAATGCCCAGCTATTTCTTGGTTGTAGCTGTCATTGTTGTTTGACAGGCCGGGGCTGGATTTGAATCCACCAGTTCTGGTGTATGTGGCTGGTGTCTTAGCCGCTTGAGCTACAGGCGCCAAGCCGAAAGTAATTTCAGTATCATTGTTTACTTTCCCTCATACTGAACAGAAGCATAAAGATGTCACAACAGTGGATTATATTAGTGGCTTCTGCAGCCCTGTTTTATGTTGTAACAACCCAGCTTAATGCTTTATCAATTGACAACATACTTAACTATTTGATAACCTAGAATGTAAGGAAATACCCTAAATTTTATTAATATTTTCTGTCTAGGCTCAGCACCTGTGGCTCAAGTGGCTAAGGCGCCAGCCACATACACCTGAGCTGGCAGGTTAGAATCCAGCCGGGGCCCACCAAACAACAATGATGGCTGCAACCAAAAAATAGCCGGGCATTGTGGTCGGCGCCTGCAGTCCCAGTTACTTGGGAGGTGGAGGCAGGAGACTTGCTTGAGCCCAGGAGTTGGAGGTTGCTGTGGAGCTGTGATGCCATAGCACTCTACCAAGGGCAACAGCTTGAGGCTCTGTCTCAAAAAAAAAAAAAAAAAAAAAATTCTGTCTAGACCTAAGTTTTCCCTTGTTCCACCCTAAACTTTCTCTTAAAACACAAAATAATTGATTATTAAACTACTTATTTCATATTTGTCATAGTTGGATTGGGCTGCTATAATAATCATAGACTGGATGGCTTAGACAACAGAATTTTATTTTCTCACAGTTCTGAAGATTGGAAGTCCAAGATCAGAGTGTGTGGTTCGTTTCTCATAAGAGCTCCCTTCCTGGCTTACAGGTGGCTGCCCCATTGCTGTACCCTCACACAGTAAAGAGACAGAACTCCCTGGAGGGTCTTCTTATAAGGACACTAATTATGTTGGATTGGGCTGCTACTTTTATGACCTCATTTAGCTTTATTTACCTCTGCTATGGTCTAAATGTTTGTGTCCCACCAAAATTCATATGTTGAAACCTAATCTCTATTGTGGTGGTCTAAAGAGGTGGGAACTTTTGGGAACTTATTTGAACTTTGGATTCTGCCCTCATGAATGAGATTAGTGCCCTAATAAAAGACACAAAAGCAAGAACATGCCATCTTTGTAGTAAAAAGTGAGCCAGGCACATTTGCGGGTGCCTTGATGGTAGATTTCTCAGGCTCCAGAATTGTCACAATAAACTTTCTGTTCTTTATAAATTATCCAGTCTAAAGTATTTTGCTATAGCAACTCCAAACGGACTAATACAACCTCCATAAAGGGCCTCTCTCTAAATGTAGTAACCGGGGGTGGAGGCGTTAGAGTTTGACCATATAGATTTTGGGGTGACACAGTTCAGTCTATAGTATTAACGTAAAGGGCATAGGGCATGTTTTGTTCTAGGATTTGTGAAGACACCAGTGCTCACTCAGTGTTGTCTATGATTTTGTAGGTTGGACCATATTCCTTTTTTTTTTTTTTTTTTGAGACAGAGTGTCACTTTGTTGCCCTTGGTAGAGTACTGTGGCATAACAGCTCACAGCAACCTCAAACTCTTAGGCTCAAGTGATTCTCTTGCCTCAACCTCCCAAGTAGCTGGGACTACAGGTGCCTACCAGAACACCTGGCTATTTTTTTGTTGCAGTTCTCGTTGTTTTAGCAGGCCTGGGCTGGGCTCTCAGTGTATGTGGCTGGTGCCCTACTCACTGAGCTACAAGTGCTGAGCCAGGACCATATTCTTTTAGCTGTTTTCTTTATATGCTAAAGAGCCCTGCTATTCTTCTTTTTTTGTTGTTGCAGTTTGGCCAGGGCCAGGTTCGAACTTGCCACCCTTGGTATATGGGTGCAGTGCCCTATTCACTGAGCCACAGGCCCCATGAGCCCTGCTATTCTTAGTTTATTCTCATATAAAAACTCAATAATAGGGCAGTGCCTGTGGCTCAGTGAGTAGTGTACCCACCCCATTTACTGAGGGTGGCAGGTTCGAACCTGGCCCTGGCCAAAATGCAACAACAACAAAAATATATAGCCAGGTATTGTGACAAGTGCCTGTAGTCCCAGCTGCTCGGGAAGCTGAGGCAAGAGAATCACGTAAGTCCAAGAGCTGGAGGTTGCTGTGAGCTGTGATGACACGGCAAAGTGAGACTCTGTCTCAAAAAAACAACAACAAAAAACTCAATAGTAGCAGCCTTTTCAATTACTTCTTAGTTCATTTGTGTCTCTCTCTTAGGTTTAAAGTGGTGAGAATTATATTAATATATTTCAGATAAGGGTTTTACTTTATATTACATTAGTTAATCTTTTTTTTTCTTTTGAGACAGAGCCTCAAGCTATCCCCCTGGGTAGAGTGCTATGGCATCATAGCTCACAGCAACCTCCAACCCCCCGGCTCAAGCGAGTCTCCTGCCTCTGCCTCCCAAGTAGCTGGGACCACAGGCGCCTGGCACAATGCCTGGCTATTTTTTGGTTGCAGCCATCATTGTTGTTTGGAGGGCTGGGCTGGATTCGAACCTGCCACCTTAGGTGTATGTGGCTGGTGCCTTAGCCACTTGAGCCACAGGCGCCGAGCCAGTTAATCTTTTGTAATTGTTTTCAATATTCTTTTTTTTTTTTAACACAGAAGGCCTATTAGTAATTATGTAATACCTTTAAATTCTTCTTTCTTTTTTTTTTTTTTTTTGAGACAGAGTCTCACTATGCCCCCCTCAGTAGAATGCTGTGGTGTCACAGCTCACAACAATCTCAAACTCTTGGGCCTAAGTGATTCTCTTGTCTCAGCCTCCCAAGTAGTTGGGACTACAGGCACCTGCCACAACACCTGGCTATTTTTTTGTTGTAATTGTCATTGTTTGTCAGGCCTAGGTTGGGTTCAAACCTGCCAGCTCCGGTGTATGTAGGTGGCGCCCTAGCCACTGAGCACAGGTGCTGAGCCTAAATTCTTATTTTTTATATATTCCTATTCTGATATTATTTACCCAAACTTATTTATTGATGGTAATGTTTAAATGGAGGACAAATTCTCTTACCAAAAGTCTGGTTCTAAAATGTTATTTTAAAGAAAGAAACTTCACCTTTTCCTCTTTGAATGACAGAACCACAAGGAGAATGAAAAACAAATGCATACTTCTGGGTGGCACCTGTGGCTCAAGGAGTAGGGCACCGGCCCCATATACCAGAGGTGGTGGGTTCAAACCCAGCCCCGGCCAAACAAAAACTGCAAAAAAAAAAAAAAAAAAAAGACAAATGCATACTTCTTCACTGTCAAATGTGGGAAATATTTGTAACCTGAATCAGTGTGTGGTGAAGGGTTTCCACATATAATGAAAATCTAGCATGCATGTGGGAGGACTCTGAAATGTGATGCTTGTGGCTAGCGGATCATAGGCAGAGCTGGTAGAATTCACATCTCTAGATCAGTGGATATGAATGTGCAGGCCTCTGGCAAAAGTTTTATAGGATCTAGTTTATAATACAAGAAAAAGGGAAAAGAGGGCAAGGGGAAGAATTAGAGATAAATCCGATTTATAGGGAGGAATAATCTAAAAGAGTAACAAAGCTCTCCTCATGGTGCATTCTGGTAGAAAGAATAGTACTCACTATGGGAAAGGCACTTAAGCTGGATGCTCTAGGACAAATGTTTTAGCTTTTAGGTGAAGGAATACATACTGTAGTAATCCCAGGGCAAAGGTAAATACCCATTGCAGAACAGAAGAAGAAAACCCCTGTGAGGAAGGAAAAGGGGCAGGAATACATGCTTGATTAGTGATTCCCTACAGTTGAGGAAGGGGTAGGATCACTGACCTGATCCCATCCCCAAGACCCAGGGACACAGAGCTGAAAACTAAGGCTGAATCTCAGATAAAGTATTGAGTAATGGTGGACTATTGTGGGGGACACAGAAGCATGGGGAGAGATGGTCTCTGAGGTATTGTCACAAAGAGAAAACCTAAAACTGAGGGGGAGGCAGCAGACATTGAAAAACCCCTTTGGCAAATGACCCTACACCCTGATTATTAGATGTTGTTAGAGGAATTTGAAGCCTATGGTGCATTATGAATAACCATAGCAACAACAAAACCCTAATACAGCTCCATTCCTATCTTGACTGGCTTAATAACTTCTCCGTAGAACGAAAGGCCTAAGAAAAGAAGAAACATACCCCTTTCCAGGCATAAATACTATTTGCCTCAGTCTCTATTGTTCTATACATGGTGTCTGGCTTTCAGCTAAAAATTATGAGACCCATAAAAGAAGCAAGAGAAAAACCACAAACTATCAAAGACAAAGGAGTCAGCAGAACCAGGCTCATATGACCAGACGTTAGAAATATGGGACAGAGAATTTTAAATAACTGTGATTAATAGGTTAAAGGCTTTAGCAAAATAGGTGGAGAACATACATGAGCAGAAAAGGAATCGCAGCAGAGATGGAATCTATTAGAAAAAAGTGAAATGGAAATAATAAAAATGAAATACATGA